TTTAGGCTATCTGGTTTGGTGGCTTGGTAGAACTTGAATTGAATACCAAAGTAGTAGAGATATGTTGTGAAGTCAGTATCAGGGTTGAGGTAAACTCTACAAGAGCATAGCAGTTTAATGATATACCCTAACTATCAGTATTGGTCTTAGCCATAGCAATATCAGGTCAGCTATAAAAATGAGATACAAAAGATTCTGGAAGGTTTAGTACAAGGTCAAAGGTTCTCTATGTAAGTAAACTGCTTTAAAGACTTAGTAGCTATGGCATATTTTTACTGACATCAGTTGGGGTTATTGGTAGGCAGAGGTAAGTGAGTAAATACAAAAACAGAATTATTAAATAGAGAATCTACAAGCAGGTTTCAGGTATGGCAGCTAGTGTAGAACCTTTGGACAGACTACTTAAAATTAGACAATGACTAAAGTTGTATGAGTGGCTAGTTGTACACTCTTTCTATGATTGCCTTCTGTAGTTGTAAAGCATCTATTAGCCAAATATACTATCAATAAAATCCTGAGTCACAAGTACTTATCTTAATATTTAAAAAAAAAAATATAAATAAAAGTCTGAGCTGTTAGAATTTTAATTTGAATTGTTAGTTTTTTATACTTGTTAGGGTTTGGCATTTGAGTCTATATACTATTAAGATTATGAGTTTTAAGATTTTTTACTAGATTTCAAAATACTAAAAACTGTACCTCTAAGTCCTTTAAGTACTAGCAAAACAACAACTTTTTTGATATACAAAATTAGCAAAATTTTTATTTTTTATTATTTAAAAGTGTTAATATAAATTTGCAATCTATCATTTTACTCTTTAAATCTAGCATTTATATATAATAAAGTTACTGAGAATAAAATTATCAACTAGTTTTAAAACAATTTATAAATTTTTTGACTTTTTTTGCATATAATCTCATAATTTTTGTATACTAAAAAAAAAACTTTAATTTACTAATATGGTATTTTATATAATTTAAAAAGCCTACTGTAACAGAATGGGGCATGACTAATAGATGCTTTCTTAGACAATTAAAAGAATTTATTGAACAGACTAATTATTACAAGACTTGTAAGTATCGCTTTATATACCCTTTATACTTTGACCTATTCTATTACGATTACTAATGCAAGTTATTATTACTTAATTACATCATAATTCATGCAACGCTATTAACTATAAATTTAACTATAACTAACTACTACAATTAATTAATTAATAACAGCATAATTAATGCATCAGAATTTACTTGGATCATGAATTTACTTGGATCAGGAATTTTCTTGAATCGGAAATTTACTTGGATCGGAAATTTACTTGGATCGGGAATTTACTTGGATTTGGATCTGGTTACAACACAAGTCACAGGCTTGATCTAGGTCATGGTCTAGATCATAGGTGGCTTGAGTCACAGTTTTAACTGTTACACTATTCTCCTCTTTTAATAGCTTTCTCTTTGTCTGTTTTCTGCTCCTTTTTAATATCGATATAGGCCCAGATTTATTCAGATATTGCTGATGATAGGTTTTAACCACTTCTTGGGCGTGAACTATATTCTTGGCAGGTTCCCAAGATCTCTTATTAATATCATAACCTCTTTAGTCGACTAGGTAGTGCACTTTCTTCCACACAATTTTGGAGTCGAGTATCTTGTTTACTTCGAATTCAGTTTCGCCTTTAACGACCACTGGAGGTGATAGTTCTGGTGATCTACTTGGAAACATGTTAATTGTATAGGGTTCTAATAAAGAGATATAAAAAGTGTTGTGGATCTTAAATGATGAAGGTAACATTAAGAAAAATGCCACTGGATTGATTATTTTCGAAATTGTATAGGGACCCAGCTTTTGATAGTCTAGTTTGTCAGAAGGATGTATAGTGTGAATGTTGTGGTATAACAGCCAGACTTTATCACCAACCTTAAAGTCAGGACCTTTTTGTCGATGTTTGTCCACATGTTTTTTATATCATTCTTGCACCATTGCCAGTTCTCTGATAAGTGTTGTTCTTATTTGTCGTAATTGGGTGGCTTTATTTTCTGCAACAGAAACTGAGAAGAATGATGGTACTTGTAGGTCGAAGTTAGGGTGAAAACCATAGTTGGCAAAAAAAGATATGATCTTGGTAGAAGTGTGAATTGAATTATTATAGGCAAACTTGGCTAAGAGAAGCAAATTGACCCAGTTGTTCTGATGGTAATTAATTGTACACCTTAGGTATTGTTCTAACACTTGGTTTACTCTTTCACTTTGGCCATCTGACTAAGGGTGATAGGCCATTAATAGGTTGATTTGGATTCCCATAAGGCTAAATAACTGCTTCTAGAACCTTAAAACAAATTGAGGCCCTCTGTCTGAAACAATAACTTTTAAAACTTCATGCAAACATAGTATTTCTCTCAAAACCAGGTGTGCAGTTTGCTTGGCACTGATGCTTTTATTGCATGCCATGAAGTGTATCATTTTTGTCAGCCAATTCACCATCACAAGGATTGAGTCGAATCCTGATAATAATAGTAGGTCTGTAATGAAGTCCATAGAGATTGATTGCCATTGTCGTGAAGAAATAGGTAAAGGAGCAAGTAATCCATAGGAGTGGTGTCTAGAGAGTTTAGACCTAGCACAAGTGTCACAAGATTTTACATAGTGCCTTATGAAAGTTGAAAGTTTCAGCCATCAGTAGTCCTGTGATACTAATTCTATAGTTTTTGTTACCCCAAAGTGATCTGCTAATTTTGAATCATGCCTTGAACACAACACTTTTAGTCTCTCTGTTAGGTTTGGTATATACAGTAGGCCCTCTCTGAACAGAAGACTGCCAATGTATTGAAACTTATAATAGTCAGATCTCAAGTTCTGAACGTTTCTGTCTGGATGGTTTAACTGCTTAATCACGTTCAGAGCCTGAGGATCTCCTTTCAATTGGTTGCGAATTTGGTTCAACATAGTGATGTCAGTCGGTGTTACGTAAGTGGCATCTATGCGAAGGTTTCAAGGCTTCAATAATGTAGTATGTTGCTGTGCCATCTCCTTATTACTGTCATGAGGTTGGTAATCTGGCCTTCTAGATAGGGCATTTGATTTACCTTGTTCCTTCTCTGATTGGAATACAATCCTAAAATTGTAACCTGAAAGAAGAAAGGACCATCTGGTCTGATGTCAACTAAGGGTTTTTGCTGTAATGAAATATTGCAAATTTTTGTGATTACATATATGGTAATTTCATGTTGTACTCCTTCCAGATAATGTCACTACTGCTTAAAGGCCGTTATTATTGCCAGGAGTTCCTTATCATATATATCGTAGTTAATTTCTGCTGATGTGAATTTTCATGAATAATAGGTGACAGAATGGAGTTTCTCTTCATGTTGTGGCTAAGACAAGACTGCGGCCAGTGCATAATCTGAGACATCTATTTCAAGGTAATATGGTTTGGTTGGGTCAGCTTGTACTAAAACAAAAGTAGTAGTGAAAGCTTTTTTTAGGGAAGTAAAGACTTGTTGGACTGATGAAGGCCAAACAAATACTTTTACCCTTTTTTCTTGTTTTTTGGTTAGGATGGTTAGAGGAGTGGTTAGATAGGCATACCCTTTAATAAAATGTCGATAATAGTTGAAGAAACCCAAGAACTGCTGCACCTTTCGAACTGATGTTGAGATAGGCCATGTGAGGATGCTCTCTCTTGCTAGGGTCTATTTGAATTCCCTGGGGGGTAATATGATAACCTAAGAAGTCAATACTTTTCTTGTCAAAGTCGCATTTTTCTAATTTTGCAAACAAGCCATTTATCTGTAGGCATTCAGTATTACCCGTACATGTTGATTATATGTTTCTTGGTCGGGTGAATATATCAAAACGTTATCCAGATAAATAACAATAAATTGATCCAAAAGGTCTCTAAAAATGTCATTCATTAAGTGTTAGAAAACAGCTGGAGCATTAGTGAGCCTGAAAGGCATCACTAGATACTCAAAATGTCAGTATCTTGTGTGAAAAGCTGTTTTCTATTCATCTCTTGGTTTTATTCGCATCAGGTTATAAGCCCCTCTTAGGTCTATTTTTGTAAAAACTTTGGCGGTAGCAAGTCGATTTAATAATTCTAGTATTAGGAAAAGTGGATAGCAGTTTCTAACCATAACTCAATTTAGGCCCTAGTAGTCGACACACATTTGTAGAGTTCCATCTTTTTTCTTGACAAAGAGCACTAAAGCCTTTGCTGATGATTTGGAGTGGTGAATGAAACCTTTTTCTAGATTTTTCTCAATATATTTCTTTTAGATTTCAAGTGTTTGTATGGACAATTCGTAAATGGGACCTCAAGGAGGCTGCGAGTTAAGTAATAACTTGATTTTACAATCGTATTGACTGTTTTTGGGTAACTTGTAAGCTTCTTTCTCACTAAAAACATTGCTATATTCTTGGTACTTTTTTGGAATCGCCAAGGGTGACCCCTTGTTAGCATGACAGAGGCTGCCAGTCCTGACAGAGAAAACTTAAACTACAAAAATTTGTTCTTTATTAGTTATGCTAGTTCCTGAAGATGGAAAAAGATGAGTTTTACAGGTTGGGTCTAAAAAAGTGATGGTTCGTTTGTGTCAGTTTATTTTAGGATTATGTACTGTTAGTCAAGGCAACCTCAGTATTGCTTTGTAGTAGGGAGAAGGAATAAGGTTAAAGGTTATTTCTTTATAGTGTTCTTGTAGATATACAGGTATCGGCCCAGTTTTATACATTACAGACCCTGATGAAAGCTCCTAACTATCGACTACCTCAACTGTTAATAGTAACTTTTTTTTGAGAATAGGTAAGTTGAGTTCTTAAGCCAGAGTGAAATCCAAGAAGCATGCTGAAGCCCCAGAATTAACTAAAGTTTGCACACTTGTTTGAGTTCCATTAGAGAGATATATATGTAAGTTTGAGATTAATGCTGTTACAGGATAGTTGTTGAGTAGTGGGTTTGCAGAGGGTAAACTATTGGTATAGTCCAGCCATAGCCCCCTTACTGCAGCTGGGGCTGTTCTTTTCCTGATGATTCTTCTGAGAAGATGATAGCATTAATTCTTGGTGGTAAGTTAGATTTTTTGAGGCAATTTTTAACAATATGACCTGGGTCACTACAATAAAAACAGAGGTTATTTGTATAACATTGTCTTTTCTCAGCTGCTAAGAGTGGTTTGATCCTTATGGTATCAATTTGCATTGGGTCTTCTTCAAAAGGTGCTGACCTGATAATGGTCTGAGATTGATACTGTCTTGCTAGAGGGTTTCATGAGCATTCTTGCCTATACTCAAACAGTCGGTTATCACATCTGACAGCTTTTGAAATAGTGTCATTCAGTAAGGTTAGGTCTTTGACTATAAGGAGCAAATCCTTTACATCACTATGAAGCCCACTATGAAATTGATTGATTAGCACTGTTTCGCCCCAATCCAAATTGCCTACAATTTGCCGAAATTCAGAGATATAACTTGAGGCTGGTCTTGTCCCTTGGACGAGCTTTCGAATTTTGTTGGCTGCAGTTCTGGACTTTTCTAAGTTACCAAATATAGTTTTGAATTTCTTAATTAGGTCTTTAAAAGTTTCAAGTAATGGTGATTGTTTTTTCAGAAGTGGGGTGAACTAGGCAAGGGCTGGTCCTGCTAGTAAGCTTCCCAGAAGACCTACTTGCACTTGATCATTGGGGTAATGGTTAGGTTGCATACATATGACAAGACAAACCTGGTTTAAAAAACCCCTAAAGTTTGTTCAGGACCCATCAAATTTGTCAGAGAGGCTAACTTTCGGTTCCTTGTATTAGTTATCAATTCCTCCTTGAGCATGAAGATAGTTTAGAGCATTCCTGAGATCCATGTTGTCTTGCTGCAGGGCTTGATTGTCGAGTTGAAGTTGGTTTACCACAGCTAATATGTCACCGAGATCAGATTGATCTGCCATTTGTGTCTCTTGTGTTATGCATTCATTTGTTTTTTGTTTTTTTTTTTTTTTTTTTTTTAATATTAAAACTATGTACTATGCTAATGATGGTTGATTTAAGAGTTGACTATTGAGTTTATAGGAGCGTACCCCTAAACAGTTTAATTGCTATTGGATTAGTACCTGTTGCAAGAAAAGGGTAGTCTGTTCAAACTGTAACAGAACGAGACATGACTAATAGATGCTTCCTTAGACAATCAAGAGAATTTATTGAACAAACTAATTATTACAAGACTTGTAAGTATTGCTTTATATACCCTTTATACTTTGACCTATTCTATTACGATTACTAATGCAAGTTATTACTACTTAATTACATCATAATTCATGCAATGCTATTAACTATAAATTTAACTATAACTAACTACTGCAATTAATTAATTAATATGGCATAATTAATGCATCAGAATTTACTTGGATCAGGAATTTACTTGGATCAGAAATTTACTTGGATCAGGATCTGGTTACAATGCAAGTCATGGGCTTGATCTGGGTCATAGTTTAGATCATGGGTGGCTTGAGTCACAGTTTTAACTATTACACCTACTAAGTAATTGACAAATTTTTGTTCTATTTGCTTATAATAAATTTTTGCAAATCATATCTGAATTAGTAATTAAGTTCTATTAAGCTTTTAGTTCAAATAGCTCAGAAAGATAAATACAACTATACTTTTGATTTATATGTTTTTTAGCATGTAATCTTTTTCTTTAGAATAGATTTTGGCAATCTGGCTAGTTACAATAGTCTCTTTTTAAAGGCCATATCTTTATTTGGCTTTATAAGTTTTAGTTTTATTTCATAGGTTTAGTTTTTACAGTAGTATTATTAAAAGTTTGAACTATCTTTCTATTTAGATTTTTCAAGTAAACTTCTGTCTTTTTGGTTTTTATAATTTATATAGCTATAGAGACTTATTATAAGTTTATACTACTTAGTATCAGTTTGTATTTTTTTGTACAAGATGCAACTGTTGCATAAATGATTGGGTTGTTATCCTTCAAGTGACAGATTTAAGATTCAAATTCTACCTACAATGAAATTTGAAAATTAACTTGTATTACAGAAAACTGTCTCTAGATAATTAGTTAGATTTAGATATCTGTAATTTTGAATATAACTAATTAGATTCTACTTATTATTGGAAGCCCAAGCATCTATATAAAGTATAATATTACATATATATAGAAAAATATTAATAACTAATATCATATAAGACTTCAGTGCAAATTCATGATAAGATCACTAGATGTAGAAGACTAAAAAACTAAGAAAACAGAAGCTTACTTGGAAATTCTCAAGTAAAGAAATAGCACAAACCTTTGATGATGCTATCAGACTGATGAAAATCCAGAAAACCTTAATAAGAAATAGACAAATATAACTGAATAAAAAGATATATAGAAAAGCATATGACCAACCAGGTTATCAAAATTAGCAGAGAAAAAGAATACTAAGATATATTACATCAGACTATCTAAATTGAAGGTCTAAAAAATTTGTCAGATTCTGAGTTAGATAGTAAAGAGATAAAAAGAAGAAGTCAGAAAGATAGGTATCAGGATTTGAGTAAACTTTACAAAGATAATATAGCAGTTAAACAGATAACTCTTATAATTGCAAGTGTTAGATAACTATAGCATGTTATATAAAACTAGGTTAGCTATATATAAGACATAGAAGGCTCTAGTAACAATGCTTCTGAGAATACATTGCATAAAATAAGATATAAGGTCCTAAGAGTATAGGTAAAAGTATCTAGACCTTCTTGACTAAATATGTATCAAAGATAATCTAGTGACACAATAGGATTGTAGTACAGAGAGTTTAAATAGGCAATGCCCTTAGTTGGATTGCAGGTATAGCAGCTAATATAAAACTATTAGCAAATTACTTAAATTAGACAACAAAAATATACATGTAACTAGTTGTATTCTCTAATGTAAGATGACTTTTTTGAGGCTTCAGCTGTGAGTTCCTATGTTCGAATTTACTGAATAAAGCCTAGTCCTGAAAGAGACTAGTTTAATCTTCAAAAAAAAAATAAATAAATAAAAGATTTTATATAAAATATTTTTTTAAATAACATAATATAGATCAGATATCAAGTTTTGATTTTATTTTTTATAAGCTTTTTAGAAATGCTGAACATTTTTATTTAGCATACTCAATTACTGTTTCATAGTACAGTTTTCAAGATATAACATAGTAGTTATTTATAACTACTAGTACAAGTTAAAAATATTTGGTCAAATATTGTTTAAACTATATTCTTATTCTATATCTTTTGGTATTAAATATATTTATACTATTTTCTATTTTATAAATATTTTCTTTGTTTTTAAACATAAATCTGCATAGGCTCTAAAAATCTTTTGTTTTTTTTTTGCTTATTTAATTAGAATGTAGCTTATTTCTGATATTTTTAAAGCTGTTTTTGTCTTGAGCTCTTTAATTATTCTTTCTTATTCTTTTTTCTTATTTTTTTTTCAATTTTGTTATATCATTCTTCTTTAATATAATCTTGTAATTTATAGATTTCTTTTTAGCTTTCTAATATTTTTTTTAATTTGGTATTTCTTATTCTAAATTATTTTTTATAATATTTTACTGTGGCTTCTTTAACTAGTTCTGACTTCATTACTAGTTTTGTTTCTTCTTTTATTTATTTAATAACTTTGTCAAATCTTATTTTCTTATATGATTTCTTTAAAAGTCTGATTATTATTTTCTTTTAGTTAGTTTTGATTATTTTATATTTTTTGTCTATATTTTTTTCTATTTGTCTTTTTTGTTTTTGTTTTTATTTATTTTTTTTTTTTCTTAAAGAATTTTTTGCCAACCCTTTATGTTCTCTATTCAAGTATCAGACTATTGCTTTTAAATTTTTAGTAATCTTTTACTAACTTTCTTGTTTAGTGCTATAAGCTTTCTATTTAACTCACTTTTATTTGCTTTTGTAACTGTCTGCCCTTTTTTGTTTTTATATATTTGGCTAATTTTTGCAGCTCTACAATAGTTTTCTCTTATTATTAATCTTTTTGACTATGCCTTTTGTTTGGCATTATGTTGTAGACTTTTTCTTGTTTATTGCTATTATAATTATCTTTTCTATTAGATCTCATATATTGTTTATTTTTTATATGTTCTTTTTTCTTCTTATTCTTCTTTTTAGATATGTTTCAAAGCTTCTTTATCTTTAATTACTTGTAATTTTTATACATAATTTTTATATTTTTTATTTTTTGTTTTGTTATAGAGATATATTATTCTTAATTAGCTTTTGTTTTTAATTTCTGTCTTGCTGCTTTTTATTATTATATATTTCATTTATATTTTTGCTATTACTATCTTGTAATTATTTTTAATAACTTTTTCTATATCTTTAATTTTTGCTTTTTATAAACTTAAAACTAGTTCTTCTAATACTTATATATAATGATTCTTGTTGTTGTTTTTAAGTTTAACTATATATATTTTTGTTTAGTTAGATGCATTTCTCTGTATTAGGGTTCCTAAAGTTCAGTTCAGTTTAAATAAGTTTAGTTTAGTTTAATTAAATCTAAACTGAACTAAACTGAACTGAACTCTCTAATTTTGAACTTAAACTGAACTTGAACTAAACTTGAACTAAACTTAAACTGAACTGAACTGAACTTGAATATAACAAAAGTTTAGTTCAATATTCAGTTTAAAGTTCATGAACATGTTCAGTTCAATATATTTTTATATATATAACAAAATAACTTTAGAATACTAAGTTAGAATTCATTAGCAAAATTTTAAAAATTGTAGTATTCTTCTAATTTTACTAATAAAATTATAAAGAATGCTATAATTCTCAAAATTTTATTAATATATTCTAACTTCATGCTCTAAGTAACTTTGTTATATATATAAAATTATATTAGAGCAGTATATTTTATTTTACACTTAATAAATTTTAAAGAGAAGATACTTAATTTTGGTTTTTTGATAAAAATTTTTATTAAAAAATTCAAAATTAAGCATCTTTTCTTTAAAATTTATTAAGTGTAAAATAAAATATACTGTTCTAATATAATTTTATATATAGAACAAATTTACTTAGAGTATAAAGTTAGAATACATTAATAAATTTCTAAGAATTTGGGTTGCTTCATTACAAAATAAGCTTTCTAATATATTATTCATAGCTGAATCATTTTATGCTATGGCTAACATTCAAGTTAACTCCTCAAAATTTATTTTGGTTACCAATAATTCCCCATCTTACTACACTCCTATTTCTTATAATAATCACCTTCTTTTACTTCATTCTCCTAAACAACCCTTTAAATTTTTAGGTTGCTGGTTCATCTTGAATAATAGGCAATCTAAACAAACAAAACTGCTTTTTGCTGAATCCTCTCAACTTATTCAAATTGCTAAAACCAAATGTATCACTGACTCATATGCCTGTTATATTATTAATACAGTTATTATTCCTACTCTTAAATATCGTCTCCAAAACATTGTAGTTAGTCAGCCTATCTGCAATAAAATCTTTACTCAACATATCAGCCTTATCAAACTCAAAGCTAAACTTTGTCATACAATACCTTCTAGCACTCTTTTACATTCTCAGATCTACAACATCAAACATATCTGGGATATTCAACTACAACACCATATCCCTAACCTTCTTAAACGATTTAATAACTCTAACCTATTAGATACATCAACTCACATCTGAATTCAACAATTACAAAACAACCTTTGGTCCCCTACCAATATTTTTTTATATTCTAATCCAATTATTGAC